AATGAAGATGACGACGACGACGACGATGATGATGATGAAAACCGATTATGACGACGACGATGATGATGGTGATGATGATGGTGATGATGATGATGATGATGATGATGATGAGGATGATGGTGATGATGATGAAGAAGAAGATGAAGATGGCGAAGAAGAAAATGTTGTTGATGATGATGAAGAAGATGTTGGTGGTAGTGATGACAACAACGACGATGATGATGAGAGGACGATGATGATGACGATGAGGATGAATTCATACGGAAGACATAGGATACTGTTGAAGTCGAAAAATTAAAATTAACGCCAGCCAAAAAAAAAGATTAAAAAGACTTTTGAAGAACAGACTTAACATAATAATAATTAAAATTAATAATAACTATTATAACAACTATAATTATTGTTACAATAATTAATTAATGCTCCTAATAAAATTAGTGATTCGTCATTAATTTAGTTGAAAAATTAAAATGGATATCTATATAATTTGCTAATAAACTAAACTAATATATATATATATATATATATATATATATATATATATATATATTGTATATTTTTGTATATATGTATATATACAGTATTGTATGAATTCTACCGAATTGTTGGCATTAATCAATTTGAAGTTTGTCAAATTGATTAATGCCAACAATTTGATAGAATTCATACAATACCATATAAATCTCGTTCCAACATATTTATATAAATAAATATGTATTCGTGTGTGTGTGTTTGTGTATGTGTGTGTGTGTGTGTGTGTGTGTGTGTGCGCGCGTTGTGTATAATTCTATAATGACTCTTCTAATTTATACAAACAAAATGTATCATCTAACAATAATAAATACCTTGTTATTGTATATATATACAATATAGATATATATATATACAATTGTTTGAAAACATGGTCTCCTTCCAACATACATATATATCTATATATATATATATATATATATATATATATACATACATACATACATACATACATACATATTTGCATACAAAACTTTGCATATAAGAACCATATATATAGTATTATTATACATAATTTATAATATTGTATACATAATTATATATATATATATACAAACCTATATTGTGCTAAATTCTGTTTGTTTTGTTGTTGTTTCAAGTTTGTTTTACTTGGAGTTTTGTTTTATCATTGAAACATTTTAATTAGCCCTGTATAAATTATTTTTATTAATAATAATAATAATAATATTAAGAAGAAGGAGAAGAAGAAGAAGAAGAAAAAAAAAGAATAAGAAGAAGAAGAAGAAGAAAAATAGACATGAATATAGCAACAATAATAATAGTAATAATAATACGCCAGCGTTTTTGCTAGGAATAAAATCGTCATTAACGTTGGCTTATAAATCATCCGTTTATCTTCATAAGCGTGAAATAAACAATAATAATAATAATAATAATAATAATAATAATAATAATAATAATAATAATAATAATAATAATAATAATAATAGTAATAATAGTAATGGCGAAAATATTCACAATTATTGAAATGAACGCATAGAGAGATGGTGCGTAAAGAATTATCGAGGAAGGAGAATTTTTTTTATTGATCGTCTATCGTTCTTTTTGTTGTTGTTGTAATTGTTGACGATGATGCTGTTGTTGTTGCTGTTGCTGTTGTAGTTGTTGTTGCTGACAATGTTGTTGTTGTTTTTGTTGTTGCTGTTATTATTATTATTATTTTAAAAAACTGATAAACATACAAAGATAGAGATATTGTCGTCAATCTTTTCTTTGCTGTTGTTGTTGATTTATTAGAATTTTTTCAAATCTTGATCAGGTTTTTGCTGATACTTCAGATCATAAAATACGATAATGACATTATTGTTATTGTTATTATTGTTGTTGTTGTTATTGTTGTTATTGTTGTTGGGGGTTTTTATTTATCCAAGTTTTGCTATCTCTGTTTTTTCCAATAAAAACCAAGTTTTTGAATGCAATTTTTTTGTATGTGTTTGTCTTTCATTGTATATGTTTGTTTGTATGTTTGTATATAAGTTTCTATGTATGCTTGAATATAACTTTGTATGTACTTTGTATGTATATACGTTTTTTGTATGTATGTATGTATGTGTATCAATTTATAGATAGATATCAATATTTGTTCACGTTCTTGCTCTGATAGATAGCGATAGACAGATATTTGTATACAATGTATGTATATAAGTTTGTATGTGCTGCGTAAAAGTTTGTATTATTTCAAATCAGATGTTTGTATGTTTTGTATATGCGTGTATATAATCTGCTGGGTATTACTGCATTTGATTGACTGGTTTTATCATACAGCCTATCTAAGATTTTTAGGCGATGTTTTTTAGCTGTTTTCGATGTGTTCAGTTCACTTTGTGTACACAAATCACACACACAAACACAAACATACATACATACATACATACAAACATACATACATGCATACAAAAAAACTGTTTCAACATTTGTTTTTCAAACGCTAATAACAATCACTCACACTCTCCATAAAGAGAAGGGACCTTATCAAATTACTTAATGAATAGGATTCTACATCGCTCATTTTAAATTAGTTTCTCTCTCTCTCTCTCTCTCTCTCTCTCTCTCTCTCTCTCTTTGTCTCTCTCTTTTTCTGTATTACTCTCACTTTCTTTTTGTTTCACTTTCTCTCTTACTTTCTTTCTTTCTATCTCTCTTTGTTCTTTCTCCTACTCGCTCTTCCATGATTATCCACTTCAATATATTTTTTCATCAATATCGTTGTCATTGTCCGCATTTCTATTTTGTCGTTGTTGTTGTTGTTGTTGTATATTTGTCGTTGTTGTCGTTGCTGATGTTGTTGTATGTTTGTTGCAGTTGATGTTGCTGTTCTTGTTGTTGATGATGTTGTTGTTGATGTTGTTGTTGTTATTATTGTTGTTTCTTTCATGAATACCTTACCAATAAATGGCCATTGCTACTGATAAAATTATTACAGTTATAATTATTATTATTATTATAGTTATAATTATTATTATTATTGTTGTTGTTGTTGTTATTATTATTATTATAAGTATCCACGGGGTAGCATCTACTGTATATATCTTTATCATCGTTATTATTATTATTATTAATGTTGTTGTTGTTGTTTGTTGACGACGAACGTGATGTAGACGATGATGTAGACGCGAAGTAT